TTTATTTTTTTTATTTTTTTTTTCAAAATGCTTGATTGCAGCTTTGTGGAATCAAAGCTTTTTTTTTTAATCTTTTTTAAGTGAAATCACTTTGAAGTTTGTACATTTTTTTTCCCATTTTGTCCCGGTCCCGATTGATACCGATCCGTTTGGGATGGTGTCTCGTCCCGGACCGGTTCAAAAAATCGGGATAGGTACCGGGATAGGTCAAATCCCGGACCGTCCCGGACCGTGTCCACCCCTAGATGCCGTGGTCCACCGTCCCCTTGACAAAACGCAACAATCGTTTTACTGCAGCCCAATGATCCTCTCGAGGGTCCTCCATGAAGCGACTGACATAGCCCACGACGAATGCGATATCTGGCCTCGTGTTGACTAGTTAGCGCAGCCCGCCGAAGATACTCCGGTTGAGTGTTGCATCCACCTTCCCCGCGGTCCTGGCTTTTGTCAGCTTCAGCCGCTCCTTTATCGGAGGCGTGCATGATTTGCAGTCAGCCATGCCGCTCTGCTCTAACAGCTTCCCCGCATATGCACGCCGGCAGAGAGTGATGGAGTCTCTCCCCTGCTTCACCTCGATGCCGAGGTAGCAGGAGAGCTGCCCGAGATCGCTCATGCGGAAACGAGCTGCCATCTCACGCTTGAAGCTGTTGATGTCCCCTTCTTGTTCCCCGGTGATGATCAAGTCATCCACATACACGCCAACGACGAGCTCCTCCATCCCCCATCGTCGCATGTAGAGCGCGTGATGAGGGACCGTGATTTATGTCTATGCTTGTGGATAATCGCGCATTCGGGGCCTTCGACTAAACACGATAGGTGTGACTTCAAGACGCACTAATGGACTTCTCTTAGACACGGTTGTATGATAAACACGCACTGATGGCCTTGCTTAAACACACGATGAACAAACGTTCCTTTTCTATTCACTCATTCAACATGAAAATAATGATGAGAGTACATGGGTATTTATAGGTGCAAAATAAATCTAAGCCTACTCCAACTAGAACTCTTAAATCATGCAAGAATATAAATCCTAAGGCAACTAAATATCCTAACATCTTCTACTAATAAACTCCTAATATAACTAGAACTAATAAAAGCAATAAGGAAATAGAATCCGAATTATCTAACAAGTCTTGATCTCCAAAATCTCTCTTACTTGCCTTGCACTCCAATCGGTCGCCTCCTCTAACCGCCCTACTTCGCGCGCGCCGCCTCACATGCCTAGTCCTCGGCGGACTCGGCCTCCCGCGCGCTCGCCTCACACGCGCGCGCTATCGCGCGCGCCTCGCCCTCGT